GTAGAGAGGAATGGGAACTGCCCCAATGTCATGGAGGGCTGTAGAGAGGAATGGGAACTGCCCCAATGTCATGGAGGGCTGTAGAGAGGAATGGGCGCTCTTACTCTGGCCAGCAGCTCCTGGCTGTGGCTCAGGGCTTCTTGACAGTGCTGTAGCTTTCGAAGACAGGAGAGCTACTTGTCACTGAGGATGTCTAACTCTGAATGCAGCTCTCTGCACTGGGGACGACAGAACAGTGTCACCAATTCAGTTTGGGACATGGCTCTGGAAGAGGACTGCCCTGAGTACTGTACTCCTTCACCTTCCATTCTTCCCACTCTTCTCAGAGGTTTTAATCTTCCTCCCATTTACATAGTTTATCTGGAAAATGTTCAGTTATATGATTGGTTATGCTGAATATATTACATTTTACACATGGCAATGCTTAAATATTTTTTTTTACATTATTTGTTGTGTGTGTGCATATGTATGTATATATGCATGTATGTATGTGTATATGTATGCTAATATCACAGTGCATGTGTGGGAGTCAGAAGACAACCCTGGGAGTTACTTCTGGTCTTCTACCATGTGGGTCCCAGGGATTTAATTTAGGTCATCAGGTTTGACAGCAGGTACCTTTACCTGCTGAGCCAGCTTACTGGCCCCAATACATGCAAATGCTTTTACACAACTTTGTGAAAGTGCTTTGTAAGTGGGCATACTAAAAAATAAGTTCCTACAGCACCATAGACTTAAAAGTAGTTGGAGGACAAGCCTCTCTTCCTTGGGAGCTAGTTGCTTCTGCACGCTACCAAGGGAAGTATGTTCCTAGGAAAGTGTTTGCTACTTAAAAGATACGATGTAAGATAAAAGCACTGCTGTACTTAGTATGTGTTGGAATTTAAGAAGGGAATGTGTTTGCCAAATGTTTTTATCTTCTGGTTGACTTCCTAATAGGCTACCAATATAACCTTGGTAGGGATTGTTATAAATTAGGAAGGAGGAAGATTTCAAGTCTCTCCAAGAGCAAAGACATTTGTGGAGGAAAATGAACATGTGCGGGCATTCAGTCACAATTTAAGCTTGGAAGTTCCTGTTTCCCAGTTGCCTCCCAGAAGGTTTTCCTGCTCTTGCCAGTCTAGATCAGTGATTCTCAACCTTCCTAATGCTGCAATCCTTTAATACAGTGCCTCATTTGTGGTGTCCCCCAACCATAACATTTTATTGCTACTCCAAAACTGTATTTTTGCTACTGTTATGAATCATAATGTAAATGTCTGATATGCTACCCCAAATAGGTTGTGACCCACAGGTTGGGAACCACGAACCTAGATGAATCCTCACAATCTGTATGAACACTCACAGTCTGGATGAGCACTCACAGTCTGGATAAGCACTCACAGTCTGGATGAGCACTCAATGTGGATGCAACTCACATTCTGGATGAGCCCTTACACTCTGAGGTCACTTCCTCACCTCATTTTCCTTGGCCTGGAGTTGAGATGTCTCCTTTTGTAGCTGGTCTCTGAGTTCCCAGTCTTTCTCCTCCCCTGTACTCTCCGGTTTTCCTTCATCAAGGGAGCGCTTTGGATTCCACACAGGTAAAGCCTGATCTAAAAAAGCAGCCAGAGTCTCAGTGACAGTCTTGTTTGTGAGGGCTGGCCCTGTCACTGAGAACTTAGGGTTTTGAGAATAGGGAGATGGCAGGTTTGTCCTTGTCTACACTGAACGGAGTAGAACATTCTGCATTTAAAAACTCTGATGTGCTGGGCATAGTGATGCTCACCTTAATTCTAGCACTTGGGAGGCAGAGGCAGGTGGATCTGTGAGTTCCAGGACAGCCACTCTGGTACACCCTGTGACCTAGATACACAGCTGGGCTTGGGCTCCTTGAAGGTTGACAGCTTATTTTTCTTTGAATTTGTCTTAATCTGTTAGTTTTAGTGAGTGCTTACTAATTGAAATTGTTCCATTATTGCCATAAAGTATCTAGTTTCTCATGTAGGTTTGCCAAATGCTTCTGTATAATTCTGTGTCCTTTGCACCCTTTTCACCTTTGTGCCCTGAAAATGGAAATCATTCTAGACGCCTCTTAATGTTTTAAAGCTGGGTTTTCAGCCACCTTGTAGTCAGTTTTGGAGAAAAGAGCACTGGACTAGAGTCAAGTTCTGGGTTATTGTTTGAGTTAAGTCCTTAATTTATATGACCAGAGACCTTTATTTTCATGTCTGTGCTATGTGGGCACAATCATTTCTACATTCTCCTCTATTACCCCCAATAGTTGTGAGAATATAACAACAGACTAGGTATTGTGGACAGCTGAGGAGCCACCGGGGCCTCTGTGTGGCTGATGAGAGGACTCTGGTGTGCTGTGTGGTTGGGCTGAGAAGCTGGATGTGATTTGTAAAGTCAACTGTGTAAAAACTGACATGAAATTCTGAGTTCAAAATCAATTTATTGAAATGTTCAACATAGACAATGTTTTCAGAGAAAGTAGAAACCCTTTCCCACAGTTTATGTACCTCTCAGAGTAGAAGGCTGACTAAAGTATCCAGGTCAGTGAGAGTTTCTCAGAACATTTCCCTACCTCCCTGACTTCACAGACTCTCAGCAGTGGGTAGGACCCCAAGAAGCCATGTAGTCCATTCCCATACTCTAGGCAGACAAAAGAAGAGTGACATTAGTGGGAATAAATTTGCTGACCTTTCTTTAAGAGTTTCTCCTGTTCGTGATGGTGTAAGGACTGTTTCTGAAGCAGACCTGTTGGGAGAAAAAAGGAAGTTGTCTATGCTAGCAGACCTACTGTAAGGACTCATTGCAGATGTTACCATCTGTCAGGGACTGAATATTGTTCCTCAGAATTTTTGTGTTGAAGTTCTAACTCCTGTAATGTGACCTTCCTTGGAGATGGAGTCTTTGAAAAGGCAATTGAGTAAAAATATGGTCATTAACACGAGCCCTAGTCTAGATAACTGGTATTCTTATAAGAAAGGGGATACTTAGACCCACATGTGCTCCAGGGAAAGGGATATGAAGACACATAAGACAGCCGCCTGCAAAGCTAAAGAGAGGCCTGGGGCAGGCCCTCACCTCAGAAGGCGCCAACCCTCTGGACAGCTTGATTGTCCTGTGAAACAGCTCATTTTTGTCCAAGTCACTTAATATGGTCCTTCATTACAAATATGCCATCCTTATGTCAGCTCCTACATGTCTGTGAGTCTGCTTAATTGTTACTTTAAAGGGACACGTTCTCAGGTTACCTTCTATACAACAATGACTAATTTGACCTTTAATCTGCTTCTTTTTCTCTATAGTTGTTATTGTGACTTGACATACATTGATTTCTTTTTCATGGAACCCCTACCCCTGGACTTGCTTAGAATGGAAGTTTCTTAAACGATTACCTTTTGCTTATTGTGTACCCCTATTATTGTGTACCCATATTGTGCATATGTTCAGGATGCCTGATCTTATGTAGGGGTTTGGTGAATGCTCATTTTCTGAACCACCTCTAGTGAAAAGATCTGAGTGACATGTTCATGTGAATACATAGAATGTGTAAGAAAACAATCATCTTAGAAAGCTTAACATTTCTTAGAATGGATAGTTCTGCGCCTGGGGCAGTGGGTGAGCAACAGTTCTTGCTGTACACACATGAGGACCTGATTTAACTAGTCAGCATCCACGTAAAAAACTGGGCAACACTACCAGTCCCTGTTACCCTAATGCTATCAGGTCCAGGGGCAGAGAAGGGAAGATCACTGGGGCTTGTTGGCTAGCCTAGCTGGAAACAGTGACAAGCCCTTTCTCAAGGGACCAAGGCAGAGAGTGAGAGCGGAGATACTCAACACCCTTCAGCCCCCTTGTGCATGTTTCATGGGCACCCATACACACTACACACATGTACACCACACATACACACCACACATGCACACACTACAGTACACATGACAACCCTCCCCACATACCATACCTACACACGTTACACATACACACCACACACACAGCTGCAAATTCTTGTAGAAATGTAAATGGTTGTCATTGACAGGGAGGAAAACAGAGAGGAAACACAAGAACAGATGTTAATATATAACTTGGGAAAGAAACAAACCATATAACTTGTGAAGAGCTATGCAAATGACCCTGTTTTTGCAGGAAGTAGGCCCAAGAGTGCACCAAAACAGGACACACCAGAGCCTGGAGCCCAGCCTTCCTTCGAATGCCTTTTGTGGGCAGGCCTGCCGGAAGCCACCTGTGCAGGTATAGGACCGAAAAAGACACTTACTCTGCAGCTGCTGTACTCTGCTCACCAGGACCTGTCTCTCCTCCTCTGACCTCTTTAGCTGATCTGAAAGTGAAAGAATGGATGCAGACTGAAATAGAAGCGCAGGAGGGCGGAACCGAGAGACGCGTCCTGTCCTCTCTGTGGTCTCTGAAGTGTCAAGTGTCTTTCAGTTCTGAAGAGGAAGGCCACCATCCACACATGAACATCACAGTGCTGTGTACACACACTCGTGGGTCCCTTCAGCCCACACCAGCACTGCCGGGAAACCTTCATTCTGCCAGTGTTTGTGCTAACCTTTCCCTTTCAAATTAGGAATATGGCCTCAGCATGTGACTAGTTTGGGGGCAGCTGTGGTCTGGCCCACAGGCACGGGCTGGAGAAGAGAGTGTGCAAAGTCTAGTGAAGCACAAGTGATGTTCGTTTAGGGGAATGAAGGTAGAACCCCGCCTTTCCCTCACAGAAAGATGCAATCATAAGGCCAAGCAGAAATGAAGACCAGAGCTTCTCCCCGCAGCCTCCCCTCTCTGAACTCCTACAGCTGTGGTTTTCATGATCCTGTGACCCCCAAGAAGTACCTTGTAGGTCCTGGGTGTCAGAGCTCTGCTGCTCTCTGTCCCCTTGCAGGCGCTCCATCTTGGCCTGTAGTTCCTGGTGCTCATTTTCTAAACGTCGCAGGGCCTGGTTCATCTGTGAGTCTCTGCTCTCTGCTCCCTGAGAGGAGGAGGAGCCACACAGCAGGAGGTCAGTGTAGGTGGAGACAGAGCAGGTGCCATGGAACCGAAAACAGTAGAACTCTAGAGATGGGGATTCAGGGAAATGGAAACTTTTCTCCACTTCCCTTTGTTTTCTATTCTACATGTTTCTAAAGTGCATTTGACTTGATATTTACAGGGGAGAATGTCCTGATGCCTTGACAGATCTCCACATCAAGGCATACCAAGTCAGAACTTTTCTAGATATTTCTCTTTGTCTTTACTTTTAGCATGATCAGTTGTTGAGGGAGAGGCGTAGTTAGGAATATTTTCACAGAGAATTATGGTTTATAAACCTTACAACACTTTCCTAAGAATTGCCTTATACATGATTGGGAGAAGAGCGCAGAGATTGCCATGTGGATGCCATGTGCTGTGTGGCCAGTGAGATTTGTGCCTCTAAAAGTCTCACACCCTCTCTCATCAACTATGTTTTTTCTGATTCCTGTTTGGGGGAATTTATAAAGATCTACTTTGGGGGCAGATCCTCAAAGTTCCAAACTAAGTCAGTGAAACCTATGTGTTACTGAAGATTTTGGGGAGCCCCACCTAGGGTGCCATATGTTATTGGGGAAATTGGGGCTTCCTTTCTTGAGTTCTTAGATTTGTTAATAAAAAAACTCAAGAACACATCAAGGAATCTTCTCTTTCAATAGATGGAGCCCACTACAGAAAACCACAGCCAATCAAAATGCTTCTTGTGGAGCCCAGTCTCAATAAATGTACAAAACAACTCTGGCACCTAAGGAACATTGCAGGAGAGGGACAGAAATACTGTAAGAGCCAGAGGATCAGGGAGTTTGCCGTGAGAGTCTGTCTCCTAGTAACATCAGAAATGACATCCATAAAGTTTCACCAGCATGACTGCTCGAATGTGAAGTGAACAGGGAAGACACCAATGGATATGCCACACTGGATAAGGAAAAGCCCAGGAGGCTTCAATCCTGCACAAAGAACTACAGGCACCTGAGGAAAGCCAGGAGCAGAAGAGGTGGTTTCCCCAGTGTCAAATGGTCAGCCCTGAAAACATACATACAAGTAGTGTATGGACTCAACAGTTCATATTTAGGAATATATATGCATATACATATATGCATGCAATAGTAACTGATGAAAAAGAGGCCATATATTTGAAGGAGAGCAGGGAATGATATATGGGCAGATTTGGAGGGAGGAAAAGGAAGGGAGAAATGTAATTAAAATCTCAAGAATAAAAAAAAACTGAAGAAACATTGTAACCATTAAAAAAAAAGAGAGAACAGATTCTGAAGAAAGCTTTTTCTTGGCTAAAAAAGAAAAAAACAAAACAAAACACTCCAAACAATAACAATGATGACAAAAACAGAGTGGGCATACTGTAATCTCAGCAGCTGCGTGGAGGACAAAGATGGAGAAGAGGAAAAGAAAGCCATGCCTTTTGAGTTAGGGGTGGAGGTTTAGAAACAGCCATATGGCAAAGGGGATGGAGAGAGAATAACGTGAGAGAAAAAGAGTAAGAAAGCCCAGAGTGTTCTGGAAGCATGCCTTGGCTTTGGCAAGTATTAGAAAGAAAGAAGAGATGAAAGTTGTACTTTTCTGAGAAATTCAGAAAAATGGGCAGACTTAGCCCAGCAGCCTGGCTATGGCTTGGTAAGTGAGCACACCAGCGGCAGGCTTTCTGGGAAGGGAAAGTGCACTGTCTTATTAAAGGGATGATTACTCTTCCTTCTTTTGCATGGGTTAAGGTGAGTCTGCCTTCCAGAGAGGTGGTTCATTAGCCAGATGATTGACAAGCCCTAATGGATTAACTCCTACGTTTTAGGTAGCTTGGAATGTTAGGTCTCCACCCAGAGGCAACCCATGCAAAGTAATCACTAACCTGTGTCAAGTGCTCATATGTACCAGAGACTATGTGTGGCTATCCATATTTAATACATGTGACAATACTGTGATAGAAAGACTATTACCCACATTTTGTTGATGAGGAAACAAGCTTATGGAGGTTAATTAGATTTTCTAAAGTGACAGATTGAAAGTGTAGAACTTTGGAGTATGCCAAGGGTTTACTGTAATTTGTTAAGGAGCACGTTGGCAGGATGTATTAGCATATGTAAATAAATTAGTAACATTTATTGTGTGTAAAACAGTGGGCAGTTGTGCTCTGTACTCTTCTGGGATGGTGTTTGAATAGTATGCAATTAGTAGGCTGACCAACCCAATGACTATTCCAACCCAGGCATTTGTACTTGGTTAATGTTTTTCCAGGGGGTACTTAGTTCATTTGCATAAGCACTGCAGGCATTATTTCTAAGTATAGAATCATAATTCAGAGGCAAATAGTGAGTCTAGTACTAAGTGGGCAGTACTGAGTCTAGTACTAGGTAGGTGAAGACTTGAAAGCTCCTTGTTGCATGTATCAAGCCTTTGGGGCCCAACCCGGGAGCATCTTTTCTCACCAGACTCTTTCTCCCACTTCTGCCCTCCTTGCCCTCCCATGCCCAGGGCCTGGTACCTGTAGTTTGGACTGAAGCACATGCAGTTGGCTCTCCAGCTCCCTGTGCTGGTCCCCTAGGGTCCTCCAGTCCTCCTTGAGAGCCTCGTACTGACTCTTCCACTCTTCACACTTCTGCTCTGCCAAAGCCAGGGACAGCTGAGAGAAACCAGAGGAGAGAAGGTTCCCAAGGAGCAGGAGCTTAGAGAAAGGGAGCACACCGTACTCTACATTTGTTTATATTGCAGTTTAAAATGCAGGGTGGATTTGAGGAGCGTGCTCAAAGTGTGTGCCCCCCCCCTGCTCTGGGGACTGTCCCCAGGGTCCCAGCCCCAGGACCACACAGCGTCTCCACCTGTGCACTCTGCAGTTGCTGTTCTGCGCTCATTTTCTCCTCCAGCACTTTCTGGAGCGACTCCTTAGCCTTCTGCTCATAACTGCTCCTCTGGTCTTCCATCTCCAGGAGCGCCTTCTTCATCCCCCAGGGAGTGTATTTCTGCAAACCAGGAGCAAGTCAGCAAATACACGTTGAACTCCTGCCTACCCAGCAGCTGGGACACACACGTGAGAAGAATGTGGGTCTTGTCCCCAGGGCAGAGATACCAGTCTGGTAGACTTTTCTTCAGGCTGGAGCTGAGCAGAGGAGGCTCTCAGGCTATCTGAGAGGTGCCTGCCATTGGCAGGGTACTTGTGCCACAGCCGCCTCCTCTATCCCTTCAGCTGGCTACCCTACTGCTGAGCTCCAGGTGGAGAACATGAGCCAGTTCTGTTAACTCTCCGCTAACTCCTCTATCCCCGGCTGTGGTGACTTTGCTGAGCACTGACGTATTGGCATTCATGAGACTGGGACCCATGTTTTTGGAATTTTCATTCACGCGAGCCTCCCACCTCCCCACCCTCATCCCGCCGCTTCCACTGCTCTGCTCTGTGGATGAATCTCCCTTACTCCACTTGAAACGGTTTCCAAACGGGGAACACAGTGCTGCCCAAATGAAATCCCAGGAATCTGAGGACTTAGTGCTCTAGAAGTAGTACATTTGCATTGAATGTTCCCCTGGTTTTGTTTGTTTGTTTTGTCAAAAGAGGGTTTCTCTGTAGTACAGCTCTGCTGTCCTGGAACTCACTCTGTAGACCAGCCTGGCCTTGAACTCAGAGATCCTCCTGCTTCTTCCTCTCGAGTGCTGGGATTAAAGGTGTGCACCACCACTGCCTGGCAAGGTGTTTCCCCTGGTTTTAGGACCAAGGAAAATACCCCAAACCAGATAAACTAGGTTTGCAGATCCACTGAAGTGTCGGCCGCCCTTGGGTTTCACCTTCCGGCTCTGTGACTTGGGGGAGGCAGGAAGCCTTCTAGACCCCTCTGGCTGAGTCCAGAGAATGAAGATGAAGGAATGGCTCATGAGGAGTCAGTTTTGTTTCACTTTGGGACTGTCTGAAATTTTGTATTTGTGTCTGAAAGGGTGCCCTGCTTTTTGGAATTTACATTAAAAATCAAACCGAAGAGTGAATGGTTGAAGTCCAACATGGTGGTGTCCTAGTTATTACACTTAACAATAGTCACCGACTAGCTTCAAAAATCAGCAGGGTACCTGGGCATAGTTGCTCACGTCTGTAACACCAGCCCTGGGAGGTTGGTGGGAGGGTCACAAGTTTAAGGCCAGCTTAATAACGAGACCTTTCTCAAACAACACATTAAAGACTTGTATTCTGGCTTGCATGCTGGTCTACAAGTTTGGTCGGCATAGTCTAGCTAATAAGAGCCTAACATAGCAGCTCACATTGAAAAACAAACAAAATGTAGACCAGGAAACTATACACAATATAAACTGTTCCCAGCTGTGTAGGAAAGTACTGATCCCTCTAGCTCTAAATGAGAGAAGCCCATCTATTCCCTGCCTATCTACATTTTCTTTAATGGTTTTAAAGAAACACCGTGTGTGTGTGTGTGTGTGTGTGTGTGTGTGTGTGTGTGTGTGTGTGTGTGTGTGTGTGTACACTTGCCACAGAGGGTGTGTAGAGGTCAGAAGACAACTTGTGAGGGGTGCAGTTCTCTCCTCCTATGTGGATTCCAGGGATTGAACTCGGGTTGTCAGGCTTGGTGTCAAGTGCCCTCAGCCATGCAGCCATCTTGCTGGCCCCTGCTCTCCCACTTTCATATTCAATATCTCTCTACCTGTCAGAGGAATTGATTTTTTTTTTTGTAACCTGAAATTAGGCCAAATCAAGAGATTACTGAAGCTGAATATTAACAAGGAAAGCCAGGATTCACTTTCTTCCAAACTCTTACGCTTCTTGCTTCCTGTAAGTTGTTGCTAAAAACAACTTGTTCCTGAGATGAAAATCATTTTTGCAGTTTCCTGTCATGTCCTCTTCACCTGCCCTCAGGTTGGGTCTGTGGAGACTGGTTGTGTGGTTCGAACCTTTACCAAGAAAGGGCCTTTCCCTACAGCTCCCTAGGAGCCATCAACATGTTTAGTGCTGGGATTCCTTCCTGGGGTACAGGGGTACATGCTCAGACAAAGAAGGAACAGTGGAGATAGTGACGTGGCAAATTAGGAACCAGAGTGAACACAGAGTGAGGAGTGTGGCAGTCTCCAGTTGGTAGCATTTCTAGAAGGCAGGACTAAGATTCAGACATGCTCATTTTATTGAAATTAAGGTGCTTACCTGCATACAGGTGTAGAGCTGGTTTTCTAGGGACCTTAGTTTGCCCTTCAGTTTGTCTTCATTGAGCTGCCCCTAAAGTAAACAGGGTGAGTTAGTAAACTAAGGCCAGAAAATACACAAAGAGGCTACATCTTCTCCAGCCCAGTTACACACAGCCGAAGCTTGTGGGGCGCCATGGGGCTGAACCCTTTCAGGTACAGTGGCTTAGGAGCTCTGAGGGGAAGTTGGCCTCTCTCTCTCTCCATCCAGACTGGCCCCTCTTTGTACTTTGATAGAGTTTCTCTATCAAATGGCCCAGGCATCAGAGAAGGCCACTGACAGGACAGGGAGGTTCCTAAGCTGTCATTTCTCTGGTCCTTCTCCATCCGCCACTGCTGCTCTCCTTGCCCAGGTTGCTCCTGGGGAGAATCTGTATTTGCTACAATTCTTTGCTCTGGACTGAACGAACTGTGTTCGCCCTTGGGGCTTGAATGCTGTAGTGAGCTGCAGTGCTCCGGATGGAACCATATTTGGAGGTAGGCCTTCAAAGAAGTGAAAATGCAGTCAAGGGAGCCTAGTCTAGTTTCCCAGGGTCTTTATAAAGGAGATCAGAAGACCCGGATATGCTGAGGGGAGACCACCTGAAGACGAGAGGGACGTCTGCAACCCAGGAGGGACATGAGGGGGACTGACACTACTGATACCTCGATCTCAGGCCAGGCAGCACAGTGGGGCAGAGGTCTCTAGTGGCAGCCCTGGCATCTCATACCCCTCATATGATAAGTTCCTTATATAAATGTGTAGCACTTACTGATGGCCCATGTACATCTTCCTATATGCTTAAAATCATCTCTGGCTCACTCACCGTACACTGGAAATACCGTGTAAATGACATCTATAATGTATTACTTGGACTAGTTACAAGAAAGACAAGAAAAACAGGATTTTTTTCTTTCAGTTGTTCTTGATGCAATGTTGGTTGAATCTGAGGCTGTGGAGCCTGTGGCTGTGGAGGACTCTGACTGTCCTAGTGTGTGTCCTTCCCTGCCTAGCAGGACTCAGTGAGAAATGGACCTAGAGATATTAGCAGAGTGGGAGTGGGTGCAGGGAGAGAGTGAGAGGGCTTCTGGGAAAGTCCCAAAGGTGTTCAAGAGCTGGGTCACTCTAAGGTCTGGTATGTCTGCTGTGTCGTCCTGTGCCCCTCCCCCACAGCATGCCCCAGGTCGTGTGGTGCGTGATGGCACTTGAAGACATTCCTTGATCTAGAACCAAGCAGAGAAGGGTGGGTAGAGGTGCAGTTCTGGTGGTTTTCAGGGTTCCCCCACCCCCCAGCATTTCCTGTACTTTGTTGCTCCTCCTACCTGAAGACATCCCTTTGCCAGCCTTGAGTTTTACCTCAGGTGTATCTGTCTGGGATGGCGGGGGTGCCATTAATAAGAGCATGTTTCTCAGAGATAGGGCCATGAACCTGTATGTGGTTTTCATACTTTTTCTCTGACTTCTCCACCCGAGTCCTGTGAGACTTGGGGGACCTTCCTCCAGGCCTGGATGCTGTGGCCCCTGTCATCAAACTGAACAGCCATGGCAGTTCGTGGCTCTAAAGACTCGGGGCAGAAGAGGGCCTCTGGGGTCAGAGTCAGCGTGCCTGGGGAAGGCAGGAAGTGGTATCACAGAGCTCCTGTTTTGATCTTATTTGTCTAATTCTTCTAACTGTGGGGATCAGGGGGGAGAACCCACCCTTTCTGCTTCCTGTGTTACTCAGCTGGGCCTTGCAAAAGTAAAAACCTGGGCCAAAAACAATTTTTCAAAGTGCCTCCTGCTATTAATGTTTTTCTCAGTCGCATGTGGGAAAGCGTAGGGAGTAAGGGATTTGGCATTTACAGTAACCACAGGGCTTGGGACAAAGGAAAAGAAGGACAAAGGATTCCACTGTTCAGGCCCAGGCATAACTGGTAGAGCAGCTGCATTCCCCAAAGGGGCTGTTCATTGTCAGTCTGCAGGCGCTGAACTCAGCTGGCCCCACCTTGCCTCTCTCTGTGCTGGTCTTCCAACAGAGTGCAAGCACTTTCCTTTGCCCAGACTCTATGGGGCAAAAGCCAGCCACGCCCACCAAGTTTAAAGATTGCCTCCTCCTGGCCTGGAAGGAATACAGGCTCCAGACAGTATCTTTGAAATGTCTTCTGGGTAGCTCCCTATTCTGTAGTATCACTTTCATTCAATATTTTTCCTCTTCCAAGTGTTTATGCATTTCAGCACAACCCCAGATTATTTTTCCATTTATGTTGCAATACAAGATGATTCACGGTAGCCCCTTCAAGTAGGGATAGGGGCTGCCACCCAAGTCTAGGGCATGAACAAAATCTCTGGCCCATAGCCCTGCCTTCCCAGACTCCCTAAGGCAAGCAGGAAAGCTGAAGCCAAGTTGCTGCAAATGGAGCACACAGTTCCCCCTCCCCCGCCCCATCTCCCTTTGCTGACACCAGTGATAGAGTTTTGAGAAGCCCTATAGGCTGCTTTGGACCTTAACCCAGGAGCCCAGAGCCCCTCAGACAGGCCACCCCTGGTGGAGAAATGCAGCGGGGAGGCCGCACACACCTGGTGCTGGTCTGAGGCCTTCTGATCCTGTTGCTGCTTGGTCCCCTGCCTCAGATCTGTTTCCAGAAACACCACACCTCACCACAGAAGCCCCATCCCAGGGCTCATCTCTGCTCTAACGGAGTTTACATAGGGCGCGAAGCCAGTCCCCATTGGGCTGTCATCTCAAGTTCTCAGTTTCGCTTTGCAGATCTTAAAGCCCCAGCGGCGCTCCACAGCTTCCTCTGTTGGCAGGGCTCCTTTTGTTCCAATGGTCAGACCCAGCTCTGGGAGTGTCCTGGAGGGCACTGACTCTGGGGTTCTAGTGGAGATCTTGCCATGAACATCTCTACAGGAGAAGCTGGAGAGTCATACGTGGAACCAAATGGAAGGGACAAAGTGGACACTTGGCTGAGGCCTGAGTCCCAGTTCTGGCCTCATTTCATTCAGTTATTTTCTCAAAATCACCAAATGGGGCCACTGTTTCACTGATCCTGAGGCTTTCTCGGGGAGGCATGGAGTTGAAGTGTTTTGTTTTGGGAGAAGCAAGGACCCTCAACTGAACTGTTAGTGATGACTTTTCTTGAATACAGGAAGCTGGGAGCTTGGGGTGGAAGGAAGAAGAGAAGGGTGAATGTGAGACCTGGGAAGGGTAGGAAGGTGGGAGGGAGGAAGTGACAGCCAGAGGAACCTCAGCTCTCCGTCTGGAGTCTGATCTAAAATAACACCCCCCTCCCAAGTTTATCGAAGAAATGACTTAAAATGAAACAAAACACCAGGGTCTCAACATGTAGCCCAGGCTGGCCTGAAGTTTGGAATCCTCCTGCCTCAGACTCCTGAGTGCTACATAAATAGCTCTTAATGTATCTTAGTGGGAATCTGCCTCATTCCCACTAAGCACAGCTGACCTAGGCTCCTCTAGGCTTCTGTAGGGTCCCACCCTTCACTCAGAGTCAGGCCTCTGCTTAGAGAAGCCATGCACACAGACCAGATCCCTCCTTTCGGTCCAGTTTTGTAGTGACCAAGCTGCTCTAAAGACAGGCAGGCATTTCAGAGTGCAGGACTTGAACTCTGGTTAACTTCCGCCCCTTGTCCCCCGTAACTGTGTTTCTCAACCTGGGGCGGCATGCAATCCCATGGGTCCTCCAATGCAAGATGCCTGCTGTGACACACATGCATACACATACAAATATGTAAGTGTGTTTGTGTGACTTTTCCTTCAAAAAGGAGTTTACACATTAAGTCCTAAACATGTTAAGGTTAACAGAGAAGGCTCAAGTCTCTTATTCTGAAAGTGTGAGAGAGGTCTTTCTTTGCCGCTGTTCAGATAGGATCCCTTCCCGTCCTTCACATTGGACTATATCCAATGCTTTGCCGCACCTAGGCCCACACACACCCTAACTCCTTAAACACTTTTCTTCATCAAGCTACTTCTGAACTGGTGAGCTTCTACTCATCCTTTAGCACCCAGCTGAAATTGGCCTCTTTCCAGAGCCTTCCTTCCTCCACCTAAGGCAGAATCGTCCTCTTTCTGTGCCAGGCTGCACACACACTTGCAGCCTCGTCTCACTGGAGTTGTCTGTTCTGTTTCTCCCTTGCTGGACTGTGAGTCTTTCAGCGCAAGGATTCTGTTTCTCTGTGTTCCTGAACCCCCAGCATAGAGTTGAAAGTTACCAAGCATCTTATGAACAAATGGGTGAGATGATCGCAATTTAGCTCAGTACTGGAAACTACCTGACATGCCCTCTGCGGGCTCCGGCCCCTGCTCTGCCGGTGGCAATGACTTGGCAGAGGCCTTACCAGAGAGACTCCCGAACCCAGGTTCAGTGGCTGATGTAAGGAGGATGGGCTTGCAGGGTGGAAGTGGTGGTCTTTTGTGTCTGCAAACTTCTTGGAGTGTTCCGCCCCCATTCTCCTCCCCGCTGCTTCACTTCTTTAAGCATAAACCTTCCTACGGTGAGGTGCACTGAGGCCTGTGGGCTGTCTGTTCTGGCTCAACACACCTTCTGCCTTAGGCTTTGGTGGCACCAACCTGCTTATCATCTGCTGAACTCATGAGGTCCTAGGGACTCTTTCAAGGGATCTGCAAGGCCTTTCCCTTTCCAGCACATGTCTCCGTGACACTGACAGATTTCAAATGCTTCAACTAAAAGAGTGGTCACAAGAGGCTGAATTTAGAAGCTCATAGAGTTTAGTGTCTTTTGTTTAGCTACATATTGAAAATGTACAGCCATGCAAGAAGCACTGCCTCCTTCCGACCACATAGCCCAAGGTCATGGGCAGAGCAAAAACCACTACACACGCTACTTCTCTATTTTTCCTTTTGAAAACAAAGTTTTCCATTAAAATACATAACTTAAGTTAGCACATGGTGCTTGACTATTGTGATTTCTCAATTAATATTTCTAAATTTCTGTTTTAATTTTTAACATGGTAAATTCTAATATGGCATGCACCAGAAGTTCTTTGGAATTTTTAGTTAAAAATTATTATAAAGATGGGTTGCCCCATCCAGACTTAATAGGAAAGGAGGTGCCTAGTCTTTCTGCAACTTGATATGCCATGGCTGGCTGATATACATGGGGAGACCTGCCGTTTTCTGAAGAGGAAGGAGGAGGAGTGGATGGGGGAATGGAGAGGGGAGGTTGTGTGTGTGGGGGGGGACTGAGAGGAGAGGAGGAATGGAGGGGAAAATGTGATTGATCTAGGGAAAAGTTAATTAATTGAAAATTAATAAAAAGAATCCTGAGATAAAAAAGAGTTAGAGAGCCATTGTCCCAAACCAAGCCATGTTCTGGCTCGTGCCAACTCCGTATTCTTGCTTGACAATTGTCCTTGTGTCCTCGTTTGCCTCAGTGCTTTGTAACTGTCCACAGACCCAGCTTCTTTCTCTGGGCTGTTTGTTCTCTTCTGTAGCCTGCTCCACCCTGGAAGCATTTCTTTTATTTCTCATGTCTAATATTATTTTGGCATGTGACATGTTTATAAAACTATGAACTCTCTAAGAAGCAGGAGCCTGAGCTAGGTATGGCAGTGCATGCCTTTAATCTCAGCACTTGGGAAGCAAAGGCAGAGGCAGGTGCATCTCTGTGAGTTCAAGGCCAGCCTCGCCTACATAGAGTTTTAAGCTATCCAGGGAGACATAGTGAGATGGTGTTTAAAAAAAAAAATGCAGGTGTCTGCCTAAAGAACAAATTTGCAGTGCTTGGTAGCAGGAGCATGGCCTTTGGCTATCTAGAGAATGAACAGACCAACATTGGAGACCTGGACCTTGCTAAGTAGTTATGTGATGATGGGCAAGGCCTTGGCCTATCATGGAAAACAGAAAATCAGACTAGGTCACCCATGAAGTCCTCTCTCGGCTGAATATTATTCAGGCTGGCTTGTGTGAGTCTTGATATGGATCTGTGATGATTGAGTTTGATTGCCTGATGGCATTTAGAGTCATATTGAAGACGAACCCCTGGGCATTTCTGCAAGGGAGCTTCTAGATTGCAGAGGTGGTTAGACCCACTTGGAGTAGAGGCAGTGTTATTCCACCAGCTGGAGTTCCCAGTGGGGGAAAAATTGGGAAGGGAAGCCAGCTGAACACCAGCCTTTCTTACTTGGCTTCTTGTCTGTGCATGCAATGTGACCAATTGCCTCACAGTCCTGCAGCCATGAACCCCCACCATGATGGACTCTACCCTGGAATCATGAACAGGATAAGCCCTTTCTTAAAAGCTGCTTTTGTCAGGTATTTGGGGGCAGCAATAAGAAAGTGAGTAATACAGGATCCTGTGTGAACGTCACTGCCTTGACAATTCTCAGGACACCACTGGGCTGGGCCTTCCTTTCTTCTTTCCCCTGGTTCAAAAGCAGGCCTTCTGTCTACTCTCAGTTCTGGGCCTTCCCCAGGGATACACTTACTGTGACCCTTTGGCCTGTGCATCCCAGCACCCCTACCTTTGCCTCTTCCCAGTGGGACAGCCCTTCCCCTGCTGGATGGTATGCCAGGAGAAGCGAGGTGGGCATGCATAGAGATCTGCATACCTTGTCTGAAGATTTTACTCTTACCTTCCAAGAGCTGTCAGAGGCCCGAGTCAGAGCAGGAAGCAGGTCCTGGAGAATCACCATTTTCTGTTTGAGGATCAGCTCCCTTTGTAGGGCTTCCTAGAAGGAAAAATGTAAAGGGAAGGATTAACCTGGAGGAAGAGTGGGTGGGAAGCTGCGTGCAGGCATCACTGTGCTACTTACTTTGAGGTACTCGGAGAGCTGGATGATGTCCTAGAGAGAAGAAAGAGATTCAGGAGGACTGAAGCAGAGAACCAGAGAGCCCTAGCTGGCTTGCATGTAGCAGATCTCTTTTGCCTTGGGTCTGGCAGGATCCTCCTAGGCCCACATCTATGCTCAGGACCATCTGGCTGTCCTGGAGGAAGGTGTCCCTCCACCCCAGCCTGAGTTCATCATGGAATCCTAGAATGCTAGAGCTTAGGCGCCATCTGGCCCAAACCCCTCCAAACGAGGGTTCTCTTACCTTGTCTAGGACTGCAACTCCACAGCTGGGAAGAGAAGGAAAACATGACAATGGGCCCCAAATGAAACCTGGGAGCAGGCAGGATGTCAGCCGCAGCTGGCATCCCTGCGGAAGGGCAGTAGGGTGGGGAGGGGCTTCCTCCTCCTCAGCTGAGGTGGGCAGGATTCTCAGCGTGTCCAGTGGAGGTGTTCCCAATAAACATTTGGAGGAGAGGAATGAATGAGAGTGAAGCGTTGGGGTCAGGAACACGAAGGAACTCACTTGGTTTGCTGACT